AATGCTGCATTGGTGAAGTACAGATCGCGCTGGACACGAGTCTGGAACCCCCCCGCCCAGCCGATCATGTAGACGAAGCCGCCCTTATCGCCATTTATGTTGGGTATGCCAAGGCTGTGGATGAAACCGTGCTTGAAGGGTGCGAATGCCACGCCGAGAGTTGCGTTGAAAGTCGTGTAGAGTCTGAGGGAGCCATCGAAGTCGTAATGCGTGTCGTTGAATGTAAATCTGATGTCTTTTGAGAACGATGTAGCATGACCTTTAGGCCAATCCGTGTTCGCAGGATACGGGTAGAAGCCTGTTTTTCTCGGAGTCAGCATGGTCGAGAAAATGATCTGGCGTTGTGTATATATACCGTTGACCGCGCATTCTAGCCAACTACTAAGCTGGACGCTTGCATTTGCCGCTGGCGAATCGACCAATGAGCAAGGATCGACGGGTGCCTCAGTCAGGATATTAGGTGTGTTTGAATCGAGCATATCCTGTGGTGATACATCGAACGATGTACTGGACGCAATAAGGCCGCACAGGGTGACTTTGAGCATGTTAGTCAAGATCAAAGGTACGGCTGCACATCGCCCTTACCAGCAAACGAAAGGTAGCGCATGGCGATTGTTCAAAGACACAAGACACGGTGAGGAAAGGATACTTTGCAAAGGTCAGCACTCCTGCGCTTCTGTCTTATAGTTAGACGGGCTATGTCGCTGCCTGCAGCTGAGGCTGACGAGGCTGACGCGCTGGTATCTTGATCAGTGTAACATTAGCACAAGACAGGCAGGTGGCCAGGATGATGGCCAGCTTGGGGCTAAACGCTCGTTCGCCTGCTTGTGATACAGGTACCAATTATAGCATGAGAGTCGAGCATCGTGGGCTTCGGGAACGCAGGTCGGAGTTGTCGATTAGTGTTAGCTACGTAATTACCGGAAGCTGCCTTCCGGGCCGATGCGCACCGCGTCAGTCTCGCGCTGCCGTCGCGATCCAAATCTCATTCTACGCACCGCGCCCAAAGAAAGAACTCTTTCCAAATAGTCCACCCATTCCTCGTGGCCTCTTGCCCACATCTGCCATAGTCCTCTTATTGACCACCGCGAAGCTGCTTGTCCTCATGACCTTTCCGTTCGGATCTGAGTTGAATGCGCCACTTGGGGGCGCAGCGCCTATTGGCGTCGGTGGCACGTTCGACATCTCAACAGCCTCTCTTTCTGCCCCAGACATCTCGGCTATCTGAGGATGCTGCGACATCTGTGCGGGCAGCCACTCCACCCTGATCGACTCATCACGACTAAGTTTCTGGTCATTGAACCACAGCTCAAAACGGATGTCTGCGGGTCCGATCAAGACGCGCACCGAGTACTCGATACGCAGGTAGTGCTTCTGTAATGACCAGAAGTGCTTGTTCCTTTCTTGGAACTTCCTTTCGTCTGCAGCAGAGAGATCTGAACTGATCTCGCATAGAATGCGCGTGTCTACAAGAGCTGTTAGCAATCTGCACGACCGGAGTGGATACAACTCTGCATGCATACATTGGTTCATTTGATCTGGTAGCATCGCCGCCTCCAGATCACTCTCGACGACAGTTGTTGGAAATGCCCTTCTTGGGTCGCCTGGATCAACCTTCTTGATGAAGTTGTGCTCGATCGGTTTGTCGACACTTACCGGCGCGCCCTTCTTGACGAACCATGCTATCGACTGCGTAATGTACAGCTTGTTGTTCAATGGATCCCGGACAAGTGCCTTCCCTTGATGCTCAGGATTCTTCTTGTCGTATGCAATCTTGCATACCGTGCCGTATGAAGCGCGGCAGCAACGCCATCCAAGAACCGATCGTGATGTCAGAATCTTTCGCATACGATCGCTGACCAGACCTTTACACACAGCAAGCTGAGGGTCAGGCGCTATGCTTACGGATATTGACTCGGCGTTTGGGAATGAGGTGCGTGCATAGTATTTTCGGAGTTGCGACTGCACATACGCGCTATTGCCCAAACCGCCACTGAGGACAAGATGTGCTACATGCTCTCTTGGAAACTTTTGGAATAGCGATTGCAGCTGCGTATCGATCAGCTTGAATAACTTCGCGATCTGCTTATCGAACAATCGCTGGAGATCCCCCCGTTCAAACGTCATCTCTCCGCTGCGGATCCGAACCTCCGGATCAGAGTTGTTGTAGGTGTGAGGAACGCGTGGAATACCTATGCTGAACAGTGGGGTATCGTCTGGAGCACCGTATTCGCACTTGACTGCTTGAAAGTCCCGACTCTTCATCATCTCCCATCCGGCATCTGCAGGGTCGACAGGCAGAGGATTTGTGCTGTGTGCGAGCGTCAAGCGATGCATTACCAGCCTCTCAAACTCATAATCGATGGCAGCAGAACCGATGGTCTCTCCGAACACCACATCCATCTGCTGAAGGTCAATAGCTTGATTGACTGTGCCAGTGACCTTCAGCACACTGAGATCCGTGGTCCCACCTCCAGCGTCGCAGACTAGCAAGACGTCGTTCTCACGGAAGATGCCTGGTGCTTCAGTGGATACATGCACAGCGGCGGCCTCGGCCTCCGTCAAGCCTATGTTCACATCGTGATTTGGATGCGTACCGTAGCCCGCCTCTTTCACAAGTCGCTTGAAATTCTCGACAGTCGGTATTGGAGCCCAAGTTGTGGGCACGCTGAAAATGAACTCGATTCTGGCCTCTTCCCAGCTAACGCCAGAAAGCTCACCACCCAATTTGAAAGAAAGGTACTCGTACATCTTCCGCAAGTAGTCGCTGTACCATTTCTCGACTTCCTCCAAGCTTTCAGGCGCGCCTTCTGGATCCTCCAGTTGCTTACGACGCAGCTTCTCTGGATCAAGGCAGGTCTTGAACCACTCTTTGTATTCCTTGTCGTCTGCAGCGGTCTCTGCAGCGGTTTCGGAAAGGAAGCCCCATGATGACGGGTCTTTGAAGCCAGTTGGGTAGACTACTACTGTCGGAACTTTGTTCTCGTTTGCTTGGAATCGGCCAGGCCACTTCTGCACCCATCGAACAGTCTCGCTGCCGATGGAGAGGTTTACATATGCCACGCCGGTACCTGGATACACGTCTGCGTCAGTCTTCAACCCGCGTAGCAAACACCACGTGATCTAACAGTATACGCTTAGCCAAATTGAGGTTTGGCCCCCACGCACGCCCTCCGCTTCAGCTGAACCCAGCTTCGCCAACACTTACATGTCATCCCCAGATCTACTCCTACAATCATGTGCGGTCGCTCACTTCGCTCCATCTTGTCTCGTTGTCGGTGACACTGTCTCCGTTGCTGCCTTCTCGCCTGATCATGTATCTATAGGATGCGAGAGCCATGCAGGTGCCTTCGGGTAGCCCCTGTGTCTCAGCCTTGCGGCACAGCGTCTTTGGACCGATCACAGCTGGGCGCCATTTCAGCCCCCGCATGTTCTGGTGTTAAGATTATGCGGTTCCAAAGTGCGCCTTGTGACTAATCGTCTGTGATAGGTAAGGATTATCATTGATACCCTGTCGGTCTGGTTAAGCTACCGCCCCAAAGACAGAGATTCACAGCCTCTTGTACGACCCCGTATCCATAATTTTGCACAAAGAGGGTGGCCTGACAGCTCTTTCTGGCTTTCTGGCTGCATAGAATACCGGTCAGCTCAGTACACAAAGTTTGTCTCCTAAACCCCACTATGGCCTATCTCTATTATGGGCTTCTAAGCCGACCAGGTTCCGCACAACCTAGCTCTCATATGTTACCTCATTTCCCTCCGTACAGCGCTCCTTACATAGTCCTGTTTCGACAATAGCGAAGCCCTGGATAACTTGATACATTGACACTTCTCTGTGGTATAAACATTACAGTCGATTTCCAGAGATGACGGCTCCAGTCCCATCATCGAGCCTACCATTCATCGCGGGTCCCGACGCAACACCTACGACCATCAGATACGGAGACAAGAGCGTCGTCGGAACAGGAACAGTTTTACCATTCGGTGGAGGGCTATCTTTACCTCCTGGCCAGGTGTTGTCATTCGGAGCTTCAACGACATGGAGTGGTTATATATTGTCACTCCAAGGAGCAGAATCACCACAAACAGCGCAACTCATCTTAGGCCCAGCAAACACAAAAGATAATGGGGATTCCAAACCGCCAGCAACAACAAACGAAGCTTCGAAGACTGCCGCAAACCCGGACTCCACACCCGCTCCATCTCAGAGTCCTGGTAGTGTCTCGAATACCGTATCGACTGTCCAGCCGACTGTCACATCACAGCCTAGCGCAAAGAATAATTCAGGCGGACTTGGTGCAGGAGTTGTCGCCGGAGTAGCTGTAGGGTGCCTTGCCGCCGGCGCTCTCATCGCGGGTCTAGTTCTCTGGTTCTGTTGGCGCAGAAAGAGGGCGTCAAAAGCTCAATATTCGCAAGCGGATACGTACGCATCAGCTTCGCATGAGAAAGGTTTTTCGACAAATACGATACCATTGACCGGGCAACGACATGCAGCAACTCCTCTTGGAGGTGGACTTCCCCAGCCGCTAGAGGATAAAGCTATCTCTGGTGATGTTTCAAAGATCAGCAACGCTATTAAGAATCATGTCCAAAGTTATTATCATACCAGCCAGGTCAATCCTGGTCTCATCGATTATGATGACCTTCAGGCACTTGGATCCAATCTACCTATCTCGGTGGGAACGCTCACTACATTGCTGGGAAATACTGCCACTAGGGAGATCGCTTTGAGATTCATTATCGCTTGGGTGGTTGTTTCAAAGATTCAGCCTTCCAAAGACCCTTCAAAGACCCTTCTGCCGTCTGAAGTCGCCGATTGTTACCAAGCAATCTCGACCGGAGATCGCAGCTTTCAAGGTATGTAATACAGCATCTTTCATCTGCAACCACTAAATGTGTTGTAGGCCAAGCGTCGTTGACGGCACGCTGGCGGGTAATGACTGCGGAGTTGATGCAGTCCAGCTACGTTCGCAACCCCTTCAGTCCTTCCGACAGTCGACATGCAAGTATACAAGCGACTCTTGCGACATTGGATAATGTACTGCAGCCATACGCCGACACTCGTATGAACAACGGAGAGCGCAAGCGGAATCTCGAAGAACTTCTCAAACGGGCTGCACTTTTTGCCTTCACGCTGTTCTCTCAGCCCAGCGCATGGGAATTTGAGTGGCAGGAGGAACAAGGTGTTACTTCAGGGGATTTATGCATTTTCCCCGCTCTTGTGCAAGTGGCAGACGAGACCGGCCAACCAGTGAACCCGCCACGACCGTTCAGCGAGGCTGTAATCAGACGGTTGGATGCTTGAGATGTTGGTCCACGTAAGGAGAGCCTCGTGGACGATATGTTCTATAAGTAGAACCTGTCCAAGCCTTCCAGCGATGCGAAATTTCGTCTTTTCACCGTACCAGGACTCATTGGAACCTCAGTGCTATTGACCATCATAATTACAAAAAGCTGATTACTGCTGTGCTTACGTCTTCAATTCACTTACCAAGCAGCAAAGGCCACTGCACTATGGCTTTTCTGAACAGCTCAAACGACTTTCACCATACTTAGGATTGAAAATCTTACGTGCAATAGCTGACCGAAGGGGTGATCTCGCACTAGATTCCCGCAACTGCGCTTCTCAAGTCTCCGCATGGGGGCCACTTTTGATTATACCTTGGCCCCCAATGAGGCGGAGTCCAGACATTCGAAACAAGCAATACAGACCCTTGCGGCGTAGCCCAATAGCGAGGTTTGGGCCGAGAATCAATACCCTGTAAGTAATTTACACCAACTCCGGCGACTCGCTTCGCGCATAACGCAGTGCGGCGTAAGACAACAACGCTGCATGACTCTGTGACACCAACACTCGCGCTTGAGTTGTTGATCTCCGCCCCCAACCACCACTTTACCGTTGCGCCTGAGCCGCCTTGATCGACTGGTAGTCATTCCATGTTTGAGCAGGTATTCTGATCGGACAGGCCGACGCACGAAACTAGACCAAGAGTGCTCAGAACCAATTGTATACATCTTGAGCTCGGAAGCACCAACGACTGCGTCACTGTCCGCGGGGTTCGTGCTTCGGTACCTGGCGCACGTCTGCTACTATTGCTTAGACTATGCGCGCTTCCAGCTACTCTCAAAATCTTTACAGCTATAGTGCGCTCAGCTCAAAGTAATACGAACGAGACTTATGCCAACATTGACTTCGATGTTGCCCACAGCTGGCTTGTTCCTACCGGAAACACTGCACCGGGCTGATCTCCCCACTTCAGCGCCTACGGAAACTGACGGAACGAGGCTGAGGTACTTTCAACGCAAGATCGGGCGGCCGAAGCTGGAACCCAGCAACTCTGAAGACCTTCGACCATCAACTGCCATTCCGAGAGATACTCCAGACGACCTATCGCGCGACTTTCCAGCAATTCCGACTACATATTACTTCGCCGATTATGTTCTTTCTTCTGAGAAGGCTTCAACAGAGACTATTGCTTTCGTGAGTATCATCCAACAAGTACGACAAGATATCGAGGAAGCGACGCGCCTTTCTATCTCATCGGCAGTCTCAAACTTTCTGGATGCTTATCCAAGCAAGCGAAGATGGATCGAGGATTCCTTGCTCGAAGTGCGGCGTGCTCTCAATGACATTGGCATGGATATGGACACAGCCTGGGGCCATGAAGGAGATGGAGGCACAGTTGCATCGAAGCGCAAGCTTGAGTGGGGTCTGAAGAATCAGAAGAGGCTTCTAAAAAAGAAGCAACAATTAGATCGGTGTCATACCCAGTTAACAGGCGCTATATACGTTATGCAGACGGCAGAGCTGTGCGGTAAACCTGGATCCATCGCGCAAGATCCCATCTTCGAGGCTCCTGTGCGACCGTGGGTACCTCACGATGAGAAGGATGCGCTGCGTGGACCTTATTCGAGGCAAAAGAACCGGACAGCGAGTCACACTAGCTTGTTTGCGTCAAACGTCACTCTAGCATCCGAAGCCGAAAAGCACGACGTTGAGAGTGAGTACCACACGTGTTGAGGAAAGCAACTCTCGACTGACTATATACAGCCAGTAGTGTCAACTCAATGCCAGTGGAGTTGGCGGGTAGCACGCCGGCTGACTTGGACCTGGTGGAAAGTCGGAACTCACAGACCTTCCTAAGCCCCCGTGTGTCTCGCGAGTCGCAAATCGAAACTCCAGCGTTGCATAGAAGGCCGCGAGCACGTACAGACTATAATCGGCAGTCCGCACCTCGAGAATCAAGATCTCGTACCTCCATCGATATCGCTACCTCTTCTTCGAAGGATGCTAATACATCAATTGAGCGCAACGATTCTACTCTGTCCACCCAAGCAACAGTCGGCGTGCCCATGGTAGCGAGACGATACCGAGCAACTTCAATCGACATACAAAGACATACTGAGAAGCACAGGTCGTTGCCGTCGGAACTTCCGTATCTAAAGAGTCAACCGTCACTTATTGATGATTTGGCGGGTTATGTGCTACCCAGTGTAGCAAGTGACAAGTTGCCGAGTAGAGAATGGACAGCTTCGCCTACGCTGTCGGTGCCATCCATTTCCTTGACTTCGAGCCCGACAATCGGTCACGCATTACCCGTAGTTCCCGAAACTACATCAACGGCAGATACTCTAACAAGTAGTCCGCCAAATCTTGCAATCGAAGCGGCTGAGGTGCAACTTCCATTCAGGCAGCTAATGCCAAGCAGTACAGGGCCCATCCAATATTCACAGCATGAGCGCCAAGACACGGATACCCTCCCAGCGTGTATAGACGTTTCTAGCTCGCGAAGAACCAGCTCGGACTCTGCCGAACATGCGACGACACCTTCATCTCACTATGCAACATCGCTACATACGCTACGTTCACCCAGCTCTCTTGTCAATGTTACAATATTTACCGATGACGAACCCGTCCGTCGACCGAGTAGTCAGCGACCGTCGCAACGCATGTCAAAGAGAATGTCGCAAACTTCGAGCAGCAGATCAGTCAACGCGGCGCCGTCACCCACAATCACCACCGTTGCTGAAACCCTGACAGCACCTATCCACTCGGAAGAGGTAACTCATCAGGATGCTACATCACCTGCTGTTGCGCCCCTGCCATCGCCCCGGATGATCACGGAAGATGCCTCTCAACCTACATCAGTCGACCCAGCGGAGTCACCAGAACAGCTAAACGATGACGATGTTATGCTCTCAGTCCTCCAACAACGGTTATGCAGCCACAAGCCTGTCAAAACAATGGCAGAGGATCTGGTGCGACAAGTCTCAGCTACTGAAGCAACGTACCAAGTAGTCGATACGGAGCAGCCAATACTCTCGCCTCCCGTGTGGCAGAAACAGCCGACTTCGACCTCGAAGCCAGACTTGCAAGTAGATGTCATACCTCCTACAACACCCCCTTCTGTGCAAGTAGCGGCCCCTCCAGTACCCTCAAATGGAAGTCACAATGGCGATGGAGAGAAAAAGCCCATGTCAGCGCAAGCTAAGCGACGAGCTGCGCACGCACGAAGGATGCAACTCGCTTTTGGTGACGGATCGACGGCTTGAGAACATTTGCGGAAACGATATATATGTATCTAAATCCATAATGCTAATGAATTATTTCTCACACATCCACCGAATAACAGAGAGTGGTTCTTCTTAGCTGGTATCATCTTCGGACGTCAAGCGCAGTTGTAGAACATGCTGACAAAACCCGAGATGAGAGGGCATATCATGCATCACACATCACCAATCAGACAATAATCAGACTCGAGGATAGAGAATGCCGTTCAGTTCGTGGAGGCCCCTCGATACCACCATCTAGAATTCTTGTGGGGACCGTACCGATTCTCTTAAGCCAGCTAGACACATTTACAAACAAGTTAATCCATAACAGTAGTCCAACTAGCCATCTCTCCTGACTTTAACGCCCACCACCTGGGATCCGCAATCTTCACATCGTAGAGCAGATTGTATGAACGTATTCTGAATACGATGGACAGACACGAGATGGTCGGTCTATACTTCAATGACAGGGTAGATAGTTTGGGCTGAATGTATGGGTGTGGTGGCGTCTGAAAATGCGGTGCTGGTCGTCTTCTTTCGGATGGCAGGAGGCGGCGGGGTTTGCGTATTGCCAATGGCTTTGACGTCGGTCTTCTCCTGGTTGGCGAAGGCGGCGCCGGTGAAGACAGCGAGGGCGACGGTGACGACAGAGATGAGCTGCATCTTGACGGGTGGATTGATGCTGGGCTGGGGGGCTGATGAGGATGTAAGAATGTACGTTTCTTGGTAAGGTCTAAGAGGACGTTAGGTGTTTTTGCTATCGTGAATACAGGTTGAGATATAAAGACACAAGAAAGAAAATATTAAGAGTAATGGAAATACGTACTCGAAGTGTCGATTAGAAGGTTCTTGTCGAAGTGATTGTAGTGGATTTAGACTGAGATTTATACTCTCGACATGCTTCCCCTTCTACCATACTTGGGGCATACATGATCATGATATCACGGAAAACGTATGCGGTATCGGGATGGCCAGGGGCTAAGGATAGGTTGATAGGTTGAATGAAGATGTTGAGGCAGGGTCCATACATCATGCAAAGCCCTACAACTCAACACCATGGTATTGCGAGATCAATGAGGGGAGGCCAAGCATAAGAGGAGCCGGAGCGCGATCATTATCTGCAGGTTACTCGCAGATTTCTGTTTCCGTCACTAAGTGATCCATCTCAATACTTTTGCACCGAAGCATCATTGAATCTATACCTTGTACCATCGGCCCATGCATCATACGGACTTCATGAGTGGGGTCTACATATGACCGCAGCCTTACACGTATCCTGCCGTTTCGTTCGCTGGTGGACCCACTGGCTTGTATGATGTGGTTCCCATCCATTGCAACCAGCCGTGCTGTGGTGATCTGTAATCAGCGAGTTGCTTACAAAGTTCAACAATTTATATGTTTTGTCTGCAACAGGAGGCTCCCTTTGAGCAACAAGGCGATCATAAATAATCCACCTGCATTATAAGCAGAAATTTGTAGCATATGATACATATACTAACGCTTCACTGTGGCCTGAGAAGAGGTCGTAGTCTCAATAGATAGAGTATCGCCCTACAAGTACATCATTGCCATTTCAAGAGGTCGCGTTGTCGAATCGGCCAAGCAACTCAATCCGCTGCCACAAAAGAAGCACACAGAGACTTGGTGTGCGAGCGACCCATAGACATGCGCGACAGTAATTTGCACCTGGAATTGATGTGTGATCTATTGATGAAGTATTGACGATTTAGATTCCACCCTCTATCTGGCAGAAGGTTACGTTGTAATTACCATTGTGAGCGACAAGCGTAATATGTTCGACGTGCCTCATGTTTCGTACACTAGCGGTGCTACACATGATCATGGGAGACCAAATTCTGGAGTTAAAAATTCGCAATCGAGAATGAGCTTATCGTGCCATTGAATATACCGTGGATTCAGATCATTATAGTATGATAGTGAAAGTTGAGACTAAATGTAGTCATCGAGTTAGAGCACCGCGAAGAATCATCGGAAACCATCGATTTCGTGGTTTGTAGGCATCTTGTGGGTATTTGTTACAATTTAATTCTGGCCAGAATCGCAAAGTTAGCCAGGGAAAGACAAGCCTCATGACGGAGGTGGGCTTACTGCTCGGCTAGAGAGCCCCTTCCTCCACTTCCAGTGCGCCGCTCGGAGCGGGTAATGTTCCCTGATTGAGCGTCTATACGACCTCATCGCCTTGAACGTTTATGTCTGACGTTTCATGTTCGTTTTGCGCAATGCGCTTCTATCTCGCTCGACAGTTTATGAGAGCAGGTCCGCAACGTTCATAGGCATCTCGTCAATCTGGGTAGAGTAGTACACTGCGGCAGTTAGCGACTGATTTGAGGAGGAGACCCGATGAAACTTACACTCAATGTCACGGAGGATACGAACATCATCCTGGGTGACGAAGTTGATGGCCACACCCTTGCGTCCGAATCGCCCGCTTCGACCGATCCTGTGGATGTAGTTCTCACGGTTCGAGGGAAGATCGTAGTTGATGACCAGCGACACTTGTTGCACGTCAATACCACGCGCCCACACATCGGTTGAGATGAGGACGCGAGAGTTGGCCTGGCGGAAGTCTGCCATGATGCTGTCTCGCTCCTTCTGGGGCATCTCTCCGTGCATGGAGGATACGGTAAAGTTGGCCTCGCGCATCTTGTCTGTGAGCCAGTCAACCTTGCGGCGGGTGTTGCAGAAGATGACTGCTTGTGTAATGGTGAGTGTGTCGTAGAGATCGCACAGCGTGTCAAACTTCCACTCTTCCTTCTCGATAGCGATAAAGTATTGCTTGAGGCCCTCCAGCGTCAATTCGTCACGCTTAACTAGAATGCGCACGGGGTCCGTCATGAATTTGGTTGTCATCTCGAGCACATCGTATGGAAGGGTAGCTGAAACAACTACGACCTGTGTCGCGGGCGGTAGGTAGCGGTACACGTCGTAGATTTGCTCACGGAAACCTCGGTTGAGAAGCTCATCGGCTTCGTCGAGAACGAGCATCTTGATGTTGCGTGTGCGAAGGTTGCGGCGGCGAATCATGTCAGCAACGCGTCCCGGGGTTCCAGAGACGACGTGCTGGCCGTAGTCAAGCTTGCGGATGTCCTCGCCGACATTTGTTCCTCCAACGCAAGGATGGCACTGTACGTTCATGTAGTCACCGAGACCCACGATAACCTGCTGAATCTGGGTCGCAAGTTCACGGGTGGGCGACAGCACGAGTGCTGTGTCTTGTTAGTATAGTCCTTCCTGCCACACGATATATGACGTACCCTGAGTCTCGCGTACAGCTGTGTCGATGACCTGAAGGATAGAGATGGAGAAAGTCGCAGTCTTTCCTGTTCCGGACTGCGCCTGCGCAATAGTGTCGCGACCTTTGCAGATTTGCACAATAGCACGTGACTGCACCGCTGAAGGCGATTCGTAACCGTAGGCGTAGATACCGCGTAGCAAGTTCTCCTTCAGGTGCATTGCCTCGAAGGTTGGCGCGACCGTGACCTCCTTGGAGGTGGAGAACTCCATCTTGTCGTCGGCATTTCGATCGATTCCGTCGGCCATTTTGTCTGTGGTTCGGGGGGTGTATCGGGTATACGGTGGGTTTCGACAATCGTTCGCGATGTGCAAGAAAGTTTGGGAGTAGTTGCGCCTGAGCTTTGCGGAGGGCCGGAGCCTCGGCGGGCTAGCTCCGTTTACTAGCGCGTTTTGCGATTTATGTCGCCGCGACAGCCTTCACCAGCAGCTCGACATCGTCACCGCCGCAAAGGTCTGCACATTCACTACCGAACCGCTGCTACACGAAAGACTCATAATTACTACAGGCGACCGCAAATATGCTTTTGGAAGACCAGCGCCAACTTCATGAGGACTTGGAGCGCCTCGAGGACGCCGCTGCAGAGCGACTTCTTGAAGACCCCCCACACGTAGGTACATCTATTGCGTCTGTTGCCAATCACATGCTTACATCAAATCAGATCCGCGATCGTCTCGCACGCGATCACGATATCGCGCGCTTCCTCGAGCAAATCGAAAGCCAGTCGAGTCGCCTTTTGAAGATCTACCAAGATGAGGACAACAAGAAGGAGGACGAGGTGCGCGGCCTTACCATGGGCGACCCGATGGAGTCTTTCATGAAAGAGATCGCATCGATTAAAGACTTCCACAACCGATACCCGAACGAGCCCGTCGAGAACCTGGAGAAGGCTTACAAGAAACGCTCACCCGAAGAACACGTACAATCAATCGCAGCCATCGACTCCATGTTTACCGGCGAAGAGGGATTTGGTCGCTTCTTTGACCTGACCACGCTGCACGAGCAGTACTTGAACCTTCCCGTTCAACAAAACGCGCGCCGCCTGACCTATCTACAGTACCTCGATCTGTTCGATGTCTTCACCCCTCCACAATGCAACATTCGACGAGAGCAGAAGAAGTCAGAGGGCTACTTTCATTACTTGAAAGCCCTGCAAGACTATCTCGAGAGCTTCATGCGGCGGACGAAGCCACTGGAGAACTTGGACAAGCTCTTCGCTAACTTTGATAAGGAGTTCGAGGAATTATGGGAGAAAGATGAGGTTCCGGGCTGGGAGAAGAAGACATCGGCATCTGCACCAGTCAATGGTGAAGCACAGGGCGAGGGTATCTGGTGCTCAGCTTGCAAGAAGGGATTCTCGAAAGAGACCGTCTACGAAGCGCATCTGTCAGGCAAAAAGCACAAGAAAGCAGTACAGGAGAGTCAGAATGGTGCGCAAGACGGCGAGAAGCAGACAAGCGGTGCCTCCACAGATCTGCAACGCTTCAAGGAGCGTGCGGTTGCCGAACGAGAGTTCCGGATACGAAAGCTCGCTGCAGCCATGCAGACGGAGCGTGGCGACACCAAGGTCAACGTCGAGCGGAAGCAGGGTATGACTGAGCGCGAGCGACAACAAGAGCTAGAGCAACTGTATTCCGAGAGACCTGAGAACGGTGGAAAAGAGGAGGACGATGAATCTGACAGCGAAGACAAGATATACAACCCGCTCAAGCTACCACTTGCCTGGGATGGCAAGCCCATCCCCTTCTGGCTTTACAAGCTCCACGGACTCGGTGTCGAGTTTCCTTGCGAGATTTGTGGAAACTTCGTATACATGGGTAGGCGTGCATTCGACAAGCACTTCAACGAGCCTCGTCACATCCACGGTCTCAAGTGTCTCGGGATCACCAACACTACCCTTTTCAGGGAAATCACGAGCATCAAGGAAGCCGAGGAGCTATGGCGAAAGATTCAAAAGGACCAAAAGAAGCAGAAGTTGCTTGCTGAGAACGTGGTCGAGATGGAGGACAACGAAGGCAATGTCATGCCGGAGAAGGTCTACCGGGATTTGGCTGCTGCAGGCATGCTGTGAGCGGTCATCTCGATTCGGATATATCACGTCTGGTCTGTCCTTTCTCAGTGAAGAAACGGCTTTCAGTTCGTACATCGACTAAACGAACGCATTGAACTCGGCATCTTCGAATACACAACCTTACAATATGGCGGATTTGCAGGGAATCAAGAGCCGGTCCTGTAAGTCAACGAGCGTTGCGTCGATTTCATCAGTGCTATTACACCTATTTGTTGTGCTTCATTCTTATATCACTGAATTTTGGCGCTTGCTTTCTAATCCAGAAGAGCTTACAAGCCAGTAAAACTTTGCATGGCTGGCGTTCTGGAGTTGCGTATACAGGTACGCACCCCCGTACGGGTGTGGGTGCACCTGGAAGTTGTGTAAAATAGGATACCTGAAGATACGAAAGTTGGAAAAAGATCACCTGGACAACACGATATCACTGTCTATGAACGATGGGTTGCTTATATGCCCATATTCAGCTATGCCGAAATACATGCTGTGCCTTTGAAGTGTATCCAATCTCTTTGCGCGTCAGGGGCTCGAGCCGACGTGCAGTCGTGGCCCCAAGAATCTGTGAACCAAGACTTTGGAAGACTATAGGGTAGAAGCCGCAACACTGGGAGAGCTATGCCATTGTGATCTGATAGCCTTCCAGATGCAGGTTGAATCCGATAAGAGGAAGTGGCGAGCAAACCATGGAGAAGCACGTCAATATGGAAAGAACGACGAGCGGACCAGCTGCGGGAGATTAGAAGAACAATTCCTCGACTAGTAACCAGAAAACTTGAGCTTTGCAATATTCTCACATCTACATATACACCCTCCGGCACATACGCCTGCCTGTGTCCACAAGTTACTGTTCCAAAAATTCCCACAACCCCTCTCCTTGGACAAAATCGCCCCAAATAACGTTTACAAGCCAATAGTCGCGTCGCAAAGCTCCAAGCAACGTGCTGCTCGCACTCCTCGGAGGGTAAATCCTCTGCCACTCTTGGAAAATGCTAAAGGCCTCGTCAAGCCAACTCCTGAAACTGACAGCCTCGATGATAGTAGGCGTGACAATCTCTTTACCTGCGAATGTACCCCAAGTGACAGGATTCACTCCATCTTCTTGACTAGCTTCAAACTCTCCGGCAGCATTGCCGGCGAAGTAGGTGACTTGTTCGTGGGCGTCGAGCTTGGGTTTGAGGGCAGCAAATTCAGAGGCGGGGATGAAGAACTCTACAAATGGTTTTTGGAAGACGTAGCCATTCTTAGGGCCCCAACCAAAGACGGGATCGGTAGATTTGACGCCATTGACAGCAGGTTGTGAGGCGACTGTCCACCACCCCTTTGCGTTGAGGGCGAGGAGCTGCTTGCTGATAGTCAAGGTTTCAGGCGAGAGGCTCTGTTCGCTCCAGGGTATGGCCTCAAGGTCTCCTTCGATGTGGCGGCGGAAGAGCTTCGAAATGTCATCCTTCTCCACTGGATGACCCCAAAGCTTGAGGGCTTGCGGCGTTGAGACGTGCAGCGTTGGACCGTATCCGTCGATCTCACCGAACGCAGGCGAACGCGCATCACCCCAACGACCGTTAGGGAAATCATCCCAGGTGGCTTCACGACCTAATGAACCTTCGCCTTCTGAGATTGCCAATGTATTCGCGCGGGTGTTGATCGGGCCGCGCGGCACACCAGCCTCTTCTTCTGTGGCTTCATACGAATAATTGCTTGACTTGGCAGCGGACGAGTGTGAGATGATTACCCTGTTCCGTGGGCCAGAATTAACAGCTGATGATCGCCTCCTGTGAGGCACAAAGCCGTTCGGTGGTGGCTCAAGGTTGATAGCTGGTGTTGTCTCTACAATGACATCGTCATTGTCGTCAATGGTCGATGGTATGAGGTGCGTGTCTTCCACGATGTGCGATACCGCCTTCTCCAGATTCAATGTGTAGAAGTGGAATCCTCTCCTACAAGTATCTGGTCGCGCCTTGATGTGTTCCACCATTTCGTCCATGATCTTGACACCCTCTTGCTTCACCAGTTCGTCATCGCTCTTCACCGCATCCAGTCGCGCCAACATATCCGAAGGTAGCTTTGCGTGCGATAGCGTGGTTGTTCGAAGCAAGATCTTATACGACTGTATCGGCATCAACCCCGGTATGATCGGTATCGTCTTGAACACTCCACTCTCGTGCTCCCTTAGCATCTTCTCAAACTTGTCGTAGGCTTCGACATCGTAGAAAAGTTGGGTCATAATGAAGTCTGCACCAGCCTTTGTCTTCTCAATCAAGGATGGCAGATCAAACTGCGGATCCTGATGCTGAGGGTGGCTCTGGTCCGAATGACCCTCCGGATACGCAGCGACACCGATGCAGAAGTAGTCCCCATACTCTTTTCGGATGTATTTGACGAGATCGATTGCCCATGTGAAGTCCTTATTCGAGTCCTGTTCTGGCGGTGTTCCTTCATCCCGATACTCTTCGCTGCGTGGCGCATCACCCCTCAGTGCCAGGATATTCCGAATGCCCAACACCTTCGCCTGCTCGAGCGCGTCGTCGATGAGCTGACGATTCATGTTCGTGCATGTGAGATGTAAACATGTTGTGAGGCCTAATTGGCGCTGGCATATCTCTGCGAGTTCGAGCGACTTGGTGGCTGTTGATCCGCCGGCACCCCAGGTGACGGTAACGAAGAGTGGTCGAAGAGCCTGTGACATGCGCTCTAATCGAGTTTGGAGGTTCGAAAAACCCTATAAGACTATCAGAAACTATTCTCGGGTGCATAGTTCCCTATATCCTTCCATGCTTCGTCCCTTCCACATCCGTCGCGTGCAAGCGGGGCAACTCACCATTGCCGTTTTCGGTGGGAAGAACTCCAGAGAGAAGTAGTTGGCGCCATCAGGCAGCGCGTTAATCTTATCCGTAATCCTCTCCATCTTGGATTCGCAATTGAGGGTAGAGAAAAAGGTGGCGTTGCGGAAGACGTTGTGTCATGGCTGCAAGTGGTGAATGACAAAAAAGTGAGGGCAGCTCATCTGGAAGCCGCGTGTGGGGCACGGATCTGCAGCCAGGATCCTTATCCTGTATCGGCGCGCTACATCCAGCATTTAGGTGAACCGGCGGCGAAACTATGCAATAAGCATTTCACTTTGTGGAGGAGGCTGTTTTCACTGAGATGAAAAATGCTTGCGAGCTAACATGACATCATGGCACACTTTATCTGGCTCATCGGACGGAGAGCGGTATACAAAGTACTGGCACGCGACCCCGCAATACTATCTCTCTTAGAGCACTCTATGGGCGATAGAATCATGATACATGACGAAAGTCTATTCTTCGCTCGTGGCACACAACGGGATTAATGGGATGCTGGACGATCTCTACCGAGGCGGGGTCCCGATGGTCAACATGACACTTCCAAGGTTAACGCTGCAGGTGAAGTGCATTGCAGTGCATAAGTAGTACTCGTATTCTTTGCTTCTGACAAAGCTATGATCTCAATAGGCCACGACTCTACTCACCGCATATCGTTGTTAACATGACATGAGGATTTCTGTACGACACCTAGAAAGGTAGCACTACGATGTTCATTATCATCTTCATCCTGACCTTCCTCTTAGCACACATAACCACATCCTCATCGCAACGAATCACGGTTATACAACAAATGACCACGACCAACATGACACACACACTACCCCAACGGATAGATGTCCATTCCCATTTTCTCCCACCTTTCTACCGCACTGCCCTGGCAGCAAACGGCCACACCCGTCCTGACGGCATGCCCGCAATTCCTGAGTGGTCGCCAGATCGTCACTTGGAAATGATGAAGATTGCCAATGTCTCCAAATCCATCCTGTCCATCTCCAGCCCCGGAACACACATCAAATCCAGTAACCCATCACTAGGCATAGACTTGACAAGACAATGCAATGCTTACGCCTCATCTCTCAAGCAAAAACATCCCGATAGTTTCGGCGTGTGGGCTGCACTCCCGTTACCGAATGTCGAAGCCAGTTTAGCTGAGATCGATAAATGTATGGAAGAAGGTGTGGAGGGATTTGGGTTACTGACGAATTACCATGGGTACTATATTGGGGACGATGCATTGGACACTGTGTTCGACAAGCTGAATGATATCGGTGCGACTGTGTTTATCCATCCTACGAAGCCTTGCATGAAACACGGGGGTAGTGCGAATACGTCTCAAACCACAGATGCACTACCATTCGGCGAACAATACCCTGTCCCAATCTTCGAGTTTTTCTTTGATACTGCAAGGGCGGTAATCAATCTTTTCAGCACGGGGACCGTGGATCGGTGTCCGAATATCAAGTTCATCATTCCGCACTCCGGAGGAGGGTTACCGCCGCTCATGACTCGATTCATCCAATTCTCAAGTGTGGTACCGGGAGGACGAAAGTTGAATGCCTCAACGGTGCGGAGGCAGCTTGACGAGCAGTTCTATTTCGACCTTGCGGGTTTTGTTTTTGACGGAGAAAGTGGAGGGAAGGGGCAGCTGAAGGCATTTATCGAGGGTTTTGAGATCTCGTATCAGAAGTTGTTGTATGGAAGTGATTTTCCTTTTACGCAGACGCAGTTCGTGAAGGCGTTTGCAGAAAGAATGAAGGATGGTTTGGAGAATTTGTTTGGTGAGAAGGAGAGGGAGGCGATTTATCAGGGCAATGCCGTCAAGTTACTGGGCAAAGAGAGGAGTAAGATATAAGATGGTGGATATGAATATGGATATGAATGGTCTGCAAGGTATGTAGCAGCGTCTATCTATATGTACTTGTAGGGGTTCATGATTCCGTTCTACCTGTGTTAGCCTGGATCGGAGACGGGACGAGCGGGTTGGGCCACTTACGGGATCATAGAGATCCTTGATCTGCTTCATCAGCTTGATCATGGTTTCACTCTTACTGTATCCAATGTATGGCTTCTTCGTTACTCCCAAGCCGTGCTCGGCACTGATGCTGCCGTTTCGCTTTTGTACCCACTCGTATACGAAGGGTTCAAGCTGCTTCTCTACAGACTTGTCGAACTTCCTGACTGGGATGTTGAGGTGCAGGTTCGCGTCACCCATGTGGCCGTATCCGACAACATCAACTACAGGGTGTGAGGCGTCATTTCCAAGCAGGCCAGCCTCTGTCAAGCGGTCGCGTGTCTCGTTGACAAGATCGTAGAGCTCACCGATAGGTATCGACAAGTCATACTTGTAGACACCTCCATCGTGACCGAGACACTCGGTAATGCCTTCACGCCATGACCAGAGCTCTTGAATTTGAGTTTGGTCTTGGGCAAGAACACCATCTGATACAACCTCTGTTTCCATAACGTGTTCAAGGAAGGCTTGCAATTTCTGCACACGTTAGTCGTCGGTTTTTTTGTACAGCAACAGGTGACTTACCTCGTTATCGTGGTCTGCGTTAGAGCCGCTGGTCTCGATCAGACAGTAAAAGGGATACTCGCCTTCCAGCGGCATCTTCTTACCCTTTACCCTGTTGACCAGCTTTTGTGTGCGACCATCCATCAATTCGAAGGCTGACAGAATCTCAGACAAATGTCCCTTGGCCTCAATGTAGGCTTTCTGGACCTTCTCGTAGCTTTCTAGACCAAAGTATGCAACATTGACAGCGGGCGATCTTCTCGGGCAGATGATGGAAACCTTGGTGATGATACCAATGGTGCCTTCTCCACCGATGAACAGCTGCTTCAGATCGTAGCCAGTGTTGTTCTTCCGGAGTGTGGAGAGATCATCTACAACGGTACCGTCTGGCAGGACCGCCTCGATTCCTAGGACATTTCCGTGGAAGCTACCATATCGCAGGAGACGGAGTCCACCAGCGTTTGTCGCGACATTGCCACCAATGTAGCAAGAACCCTTTGCCCCAAGATCTAATGGGAAGATGTGGTTCTTCTCGGCGAGAAAGTTGTCGGCATTCTCTAGGATCACACCGGCATCAGCGACTAGGATACCAGATACTTCGTCGAAAGACCTGATTTCGTTCATCCTCTGCATGTTGATCACAATCTCGTCGAATACGGGCACAGAGCCACCGACAAGTCCAGTGTTACCACCCTGAGGTACTACAGCGAGCATGTTGTCATTGCAGTATTTGAGGATCTTGCTGACTTCCTCGGTAGATTTAGGCTTCAAGACTACTTTGGTATGGCCGCGGAACTTGCGCATCCAGTCACTGTTGAACGCCTCAATATCTTCCGATGCATCTTTCGTCACACCATCTATGACTGCCGAGTCGGAACCTAAGAGATCCTGGAAATATTTTACATGCTCCTCGCTGACCTTGGCAAATTTGGAGTCTCTTTGGAGATGCGGGTATCTGCTTGGCATCAGCAAAATGTGAAAACTGCTCAGACCTCAACACATACGACTCTGAAGTGAATTTGATGGATTGTGCCGACGCGGTTGGGCCCTTGACTCCGCCATGCTCGTCTGGCTGATGAGGCTCCGAACTCGCTGATGTACTACCCGTCCATCGGACTTGACTTGTCGGTCGCAAATATTGATAGCGCGATGCAACGCGAGAAGAGAAGGCAGTTCGCCGCAGGGACGAGACTAGGCGCGCTGAAGATGCCATTATGGTTGACTGAGGGAGCAATGCGACAGCGGCGGAAATAATCATTCGCCATCGTGAATATCTACCATGATGACATAAGTCGACAGGGAGCGCACAGGCCAGATGGCTTGGCGTAGTTTAGGCGGGAGCAGCGACGCGGACAGCTCTGGAGCTCCGAGACCAGCTTGACGACTGTCGTACTCTATTGCCCCACCACTTCTTGTTACATTTCGTTGCCGTATACCAGGGAAATAATAGAGAACTCAAGAACCACTTCACAAAATCTCTCACAATGGCATCCGGCTACGATCGAGCTCTCTCCGGTACAAACAACCAACCCATGAGGATGCGGGCCTAGCTAATTATGCCAGTCTTCAGTCCTGACGGTCACGTCTTCCAGGTCGAATATGCGCTCGAGGCCGTAAAGCGAGGTGCGTAGTCTGTGAAAGGGATGGTAAACATGAGATGCTTATTCGCCTCAGGAACATGCGCCGTTGGTGTCAAGGGCTCGGACATAGTAGTACTCGGCTGCGAGAAGCGATCAGCAATGAAGCTGCAAGACACCCGTATCACACCCTCCAAGATCTGCCTCGTCGACACCCACGTTGCCCTTGCCTTCGCTGGACTGAACGCCGACGCCCGTATCCTTGTCGACAAGGCCCGCCTGGAAGCACAATCACATCGCTTGACAGTTGAAGACCCCGTATCGATAGAGTACATCACCAAGTATGTTGCCGGTGTGCAGCAGAGATACACGCAGAGTGGTGGTGTCCGACCGTTCGGCATCAGCACGCTGATAGTCGGCTTCGACCCTAACGACAAGACCCCGCGCCTGTACCAGACTGAGCCCTCTGGTATCTACTCAGCATGGTAAGTTGCGTTGACGGAAACAAACTGTATGTGCTAATACAATGAAGGAAAGCAAATGCCATCGGCCGATCGAGCAAGACAGTCCGCGAGTTCCTGGAGCGCAACCACAAGGAAGGCATGGACCGGGAAGAGACGATTAAACTGACAGTCAAGTCACTACTAGAGGTAGTGCAGACTGGTGCTAAGAACATTGAGATCGCGATCATGGCGCCTGGAAAGCCCATCGAAATGCTGCCTGTCGAGGATATCGAGAAGTACGTGGAAAACATCAACACAGAGAAGCAGGAAGAGGCGGCGAACAGGAGGCCTGGACGGCAGCCCGGTACAGGCCAGGCCGCTATCCTAACCCGTCAGACCCCAGCTGAGGGCTCAGGAGCTGGTGGCGCGTAAGGGCGTGGTTAACGAGTGATGGCGAAAAGGCATGAACAGCAGTGGCGTCTGGTGATAGACTTTATGAACCTGTATAATGCAGATACGACCAGCTAGTGCTCATAAATGGCAATCTAGCGCACCACGATGCTCCTTCCCACGTCCAACCCCCCGCTCGTCGCGTGATGTTCATTGGTGTGGTACCCCTGCCCTGTTGCTCTGTAGCTTGTGTTACGCATAGTATCGTGGATCCCTATGCATGCAGTCCTTCAACCCAGCTTGTTCGGCGCCTCCTTGACATCGAATATCGTGCGCATTTCCTCGCCCCGTACACGGTCGTCTTTGAGCATTCTGAAGAGTGGTTAGACGTGCGTCATGCACTAAACTCAAAGGCGACATACCGGGAGTCTATGCGGGCGTCCTCGCCTTCGACTTGCAATGATGCCTTGGGTGTCTTTGCCTCTAAAACGAAGTGGTTGTCGCAGTGCGGGCAGTACTCGTCGCTACTCTTGATCAGCCAGGCGCCAGCTCAAATATATTTCTACTACTCACGCGTCCTCGAATTCGCGCGCATCTTTGCGGAAGGCTTTCTTGCACTTTTTGCAGATGAAGACCATGTCAAATGTCTGCATCAGCGGGTGGTCGCTCTGCTCCTGGTGACATTCTGCGCAGTCGAACCATTTCTTGCCTAGCAGTTCTCAGTATTCATCGCGCACATGTCAGGCGCGGGCGACATACAGCATGGCGAGCGGATGGCGACTTGGGCATTGAGGACGTGTTTGCTGCATGGACATCAGCCAGCCGCGGAGGTGATTGCGGGGAGTCTCGCGGGCAAGAAAGAAGGTGTGCTTACCACATGGCGGGCGACGGTCAAGTGACTATGCGACTACTATGGAACGTACAACAGACTGACGGCTGCAGGTTGCCCAGGTGCTAGTTTGGCGTTTTGTATGCTCGTCTATAATTCGCCGGTGCCTGATCGCCTTGCCGTCGGTGGTGTGCAGGGTTCCGTGCTGGTTAGCTGTGGGGAATGGCAGTAACAAGACACGACAACACCGCTTCAAGCCGCCCGCGCCCAACGCAGAGAAGCAACATCCATCGCCCGTCAGCCGGAGAGGTCGCCTGAGCGGATCGGACAGCACTTCACAGCCGTCGCCAGAGCGTGTGCATTCCGACTGCTGCTGAAACACTTGCACCCCCGCGCTGTCGCCGGTATTCCCTGTCGCCGAACATTCTTAGCAGGACAGTATACGCGTCTCCACTAGGGAGCCCTACAGGCACTCTCGGGCCTCTACCACGACGCACCGCCACCGTATCCACTACCACTCCCTCTATTTCTGGATCGTGTCCCTAGTAGCGCTGGCTGCATGACCGCTCACGAGCGACAGCCTCCCCTTCCATCATCACAAGAAGCGCCAAATGGGAAGAAGACCTTACTGGTCGATGCGCAGCTATAGGATACCCTCCGGTGCCGGCTGACGACAAAACAAACACACATCATGGAGAACCAGCAAGAGGAGACGCAGGATGGCTCCTCGATTGTGAGTGCGCCTTGTCTGCACGACGAAACAGTTGCTGACTCCCAGTACAGAAGCCAGTGTCTTCCCTCCGCGCCCAATTCGAGAACCTCCTCAGCACAAACAAATCACCCGCGCCTGCCACCCCGAGACAGCGCTCTCCTGGCGCCGGCGACCGCCTTCCCATGCCAGAGGACAACAGGAGAACAGACGGGCGCATATCCCTAGACATGCCGAGGGATAGAGACTATACCGAGAGACCCTCGCCCAGTGTGGCCGACTACAGTGGGAGTGGGACAGTGACACCGCGCTCGAACACCCTCGGACGGTCGCTATGGGGCAATCCAAAACCAAGACCGACATCGATGATGGCTTTCTCTCCGCCCAGGTCGCCTACAAGGTCGCCCACAAGGTCGCCTCCAAAAGTCACTGTCCAATCACCAAGATCACCACCCAAGTCTTCCGCATCCCCCATACACTCGCCGCAGCCTTCGAAACCCATCTCGCACGTAGCACTGGATTCGCCCTCGTCAGCGTCTGGGGGGAAAAGATTCTTCAAAATGCCCAGTCGCAATGGTACTCCTGGTGTGGATGCGAAACCTGTCTTCCCATCTCATACGGGCAATGGCCCCTCCAACGATCCACGAAAGGGTGACCGACCAGTATCCTCTGCGCCGCCTGCGCCACCACCCGTAAATCGAGCCGGAAAGCCCAAGATCCCACCAAAACCGATTTCTGTTGACGGTGCAGCTCGCACAAACCTAGCACCCGAAGCAACATCTGATGCTGTAGATGTGTCTCCATTCAGTACGCCACCCAGCAGTAGTGGAGATAGCGTCAAGGGAGAGCCTTCTCCACCAGTTATTCCAGGGTTCTCTAAACCAAAGTTCACTCCTAGTAACAATGGATACTTTCCAGCTCATCCACCATCTACAGACTCTCGCATACCTGGGAAGCAACCCTTCAAGAAAACTATGCCTCCACCATCACCGAATGACCTCCCAGAAGACCGCCCATCGTTACCCATGCGACGAGAGAAAGACAACTTCGACTTGCGGAAGAGCGTGCAACTGCAGAGAGCAGCACCCCCTGACTTGCCAGTGCGACGGTCTTTTGACCAGACCCGGCCTGGTCAGTTAGTACAGGAGACAAACAACAAATTCATGCCCCCTCCCCGGCGGAACAACACAACTGGCGCCATATCCGCTAGTCCCGGAAAAGCGTTAGAACCCCCGAAGCCACCGCCTCCACGAAACTCTGGGGAAATGCGACGGCCTTCCCAGCCAACCGTGCAAGCATCGCAGCTATCACAGCCGTACACTTATGACTCGGACGAGGAGGACACAGGCGCAGAAAAACAACCGGCGACTGCTCTAACAGACTACCCAGACTCGTCACAAGCGAATCGAAGGCCACCAGTGTTTCCGGATGGCGTAGCTGGCATTCCGACAGGCTACGAGACCAAACTGTTCGCGATTTGTGGTGATTACATATGTACGACCGGATATGTGACCAATGTTTGGAACGTTTTGAATGGGCGACTGCTTATGAGTCTCGCCCATGGTGACACAGTCAAAGCCACAGCGATTGCATTTCGGCCAGCCAAGGACGTTGAGGACGAAGGCAAGCGGTTATGGCTAGGGACGAATACCGGCGAAATGCATGAAATTGACATACCCACACAAAGTGTAGTGTACACTAAGAGTAACGCGCACGCGAGGAGTGTGGTCACCAAAATCTTCCGCTATGCCTCAGAAATGTGGTCTCTCGACGAGGATGGCGTTTTGCACATTTGGCCAGCAGACGAGTCAGGATGTCCTTCTTTGCAGCAGGCGCCGCTCACTTACCGCATCCCTCGTGGAAGCACCTTTTCCATAATCTCAGGCTCCCAGTTGTGGGTAGCTTCGACGAAAGACATACGAGTTTACGCTCGTACATCAGACAACAACTACTTCCAGCAGTTGACACAGGGACCTTTGTCTCAGCTTAATGTCGGAGACGTCACTTCTGGTGCTATCATCAGCAGTCAGCCGGATAAGATGTACTTTGGACACGCTGATGGGAAAGTCACAATCTACTCCAAGAAGAGCTTTGAATGTCTTGGAATTGTGAATGTCAGTGTGTATAAAATCAGCTCCCTGGTTGGTGTTGGTGACTTCCTTTGGGCTGGCTACAGTACTGGAATGATATACGTGTACGAGACCAAATCGACCCCCTGGAAGGTGTTGAAAGATTGGAAGGCACACGACAAACCAATCGCGGGCATTTTGGCCGATCGTACCAGTATCTGGAAGCTCGATAGATTCCAGGTCGCGTCTTTGGGAACGGACAGCATGTTGCGTGTCTGGGACGGGATGATGAAGGAGGATTGGCTCGGTAAGTGAGATTGATTTATCCTCGTCGTACCATACTAATGCTCTACAGAAAACTTGATGCAACAACGCGATTCTGAATACTGTGAGTTCAGAGAGCTCTCAGCACGAGTCATGACATGGAACGCCGGCGCAACCAAACCCGCAAACATACGGAATACAGAGCAGGATCGCAATTTCTTCCGGGAAATAATCGAGCCTGGCAATTCTCCCGATATTCTCGTCTTTGGCTTCCAGGAGTTGGTAGATCTGGAGGACAAGAAGATTACCGCCAAGAGTATCTTCAAGAGAAAGAAACACAAGGAGACATCAGAACACGAGCACATGTCTCATCAATATCGGGCGTGGCGAGACCACCTTGTCCGTGTTCTGGACGAACACAGTCCAAACGAGAATTATGTTCTCTTGCATACCGCCAACCTTGTCGGTCTCTTCACCTGTGTGTTCATAAAGGCTTCTGAACGGACAAATATCCGCGACGTATGCGCAGCTGAGATCAAGCTTGGCTTCAGCGGTCGAGTCGGTAACAAGGGTGCGCTCGTAGTGCGCTTCTTCATTGACGATTCGTCGCTCTGCTTTATCAACTGCCATCTCGCAGCTGGTCAGACACAGACCGTGCATCGCAACAATGATGCCGCCGCAATTATGGAGAACGCGCCATTACCGAAGAACCGCTCCCCAACTTCGTGCGCAAACTACTTTGTTGGAGGTGGTGATGGATCTATGATTCTGGACCACGAGATCTGTATCTTGAACGGTGACCTCAACTATCGCATCGACGCGATGCCTCGCAATACTGTTGTCGCCGCTGTGCAGCAAGGGAATCTGGCGAAGCTTCTTGAGCGCGATCAACTGCTTTTGTCTCGCAAACGCAATCCCGGGTTCCGCTTGCGTGCATTCACAGAAGCGCCTATCAACTTTGCTCCCACTTACAAGTATGATGTAGGGACAGACAATTACGATACCTCCGAGAAGCAGCGTTCACCAGCATGGTGCGATCGGTTGCTGTACCGCGGCTTGGGTAGAATCAAGCAGTTAGATTACCGGCGACACGACTCTATCAAAGTCTCAGATCACCGTCCTGTCAGTGGAACATTCAAGCTCCGCGTCAAGACGATCAACTCGAAGAGACAGGATGCCACCAGAGATAAAGCTGAGGTTGAGTTCGAGGCAGTGCGGCGGCGGATAGCTGGAGACATCAAGTAAGTCAAACTAAATGATTGACCCTAAAGCTTGTCGTATTGACAAAATTTGCAGACTCGACTACCTGATCAATGTCTTCGGCCTATCCAGCAAAGAAGCTCAGAAGCTACTGAAAGGAGCTTGAGCCATTCCAGGGCTTGTCCCAAAACATTGTGAAACCTTAGACGCGGAACCAACCCGTCGTTAGCGCAAACTTCAGCCTCATCAGCTTTCGGGGATGTGGATGCGGAAGACATGATGTATCGCAAAATACGATAGTTCGAACAGACGCACGATTACCGACGATGTCAGGGTCATGGGCTACGGCTCATAGCAGATAGCGGCGCAGAATCGATCGAGATGAAATGCGGAGAGTGGGACACTAGAGAAGGATTGACGAATGGGATTGTGTAGAAAAAGCATAGCATTGGCAGGCGAATCTGGGTTCCATGTCTGAGCGTTTTCGCTGACGGAAAGGCGCATTCTCTTTGGCGATCGGTGCCCGCAATGGGGATAAGGAATCTAGAGCACGCGTTGTCGCATAGCAGAATTGTGGTCATGGTGACGTCAGATCAACGCGCCTCCCCAAATAAAGCATCGATGATGACGGCAAGCAAACAGCAAAACCGCCCACGCACCCTCACCATTTCTTCTTCAATCCCTACTTATGTCCGCAACTTCAATTGCAATTCGTCGCTTACCACTATTGACGACCTCAAGAGCTGTACCTCGTGCACGACTTGTAGCTTCTCACCTCACGCGACAGCACCCCACATTCTCCACAACTTCTTTCAGAATGGACAAAGAGCAAGTTAAGGACCAGAGCCGTGGCCATGAGACGACTGGAAAGTCGGAGTGGAAACAACGCCCACCCTACCGCGTCCACGAGAAGAACGAGGACTTTGACGTCAAGTACGAAGCCAACTGCCATTGCGGAAAGGTTCAGTACCAGCTCAGCCGGAGAGAGCCTCTAGACAGCAAGCTGTGCCATTGTACAACCTGTCAGACCCAGCATGGTATGTTTCTTCATTCAATTTCTCTTAGAGTTACAACTAACACCCGTCAGCTGCACCCTTCCAATGGGCAGCCATCTTTCACAAAGATGACATCAACTTCACCAACGGCCACCACGATCTAGAATGGTATGACCCAACCGACAAGTCCATCGAGCACAAGCTCCCCTGCAAAGTTCGTTGCTCCTACTGCCATTCACCCATCATGGACGAGGGCCGCAACATGATCCTTCTTTTCCCCTCCCTCGTGCACCTCAAGACCGACGAAGACAAGGCATACTTCAAGCCCCGCTGCCACATGTTCTACGGCCAACGTGTCATGGATATCCCAGACGGTCTTCCTAAGTGGAGCGGTCTGAGTGGTGATTCTGATCTCATTGAGGACAGCCCACCGGATATGGTTCGCGAGCATGAGCGTAAACGCGAGGAGGAGAGGAATAAGAAGTTGGAAGAGGGTGAGCCGGATGAGGTCACTAAGGAGGGTACTCAAGGCAGGAAAGAAGGCAAGGGCTCCAACTCCAGTTAGGCAGTGAATTGGTCCCCAGATATGGAACAGCTACATTGAGGCATGCTTGCCTAGCATTATTTTGTCGATTCCATTGGCTTCCAGGCACAATGTATGCTCATGACGAATAATGTATGATGACATGAAATCGTCGGGTGGGTGGGAGGTGGCCGTGACAAGAGTCACGAGCCCATGAAAAGATACAGATAGGATATCGGAACCTAGAGATCCGCCTGAAAACCAATCAAGCTGTCAATATTGAGTACTGCGCTTACCTCCATGTGTACATATACACGTACGTCAATGACTTGCAGCTCACCATACCCGCAGGCGAAATGAATGGCTAACTATACACTTCGTTATCGTGTTTTTCGCCATGAGAACGGTACAAGGTATCATCCGAGTTAGTTGCTTGTTGAGAACACATGAGAAAGTCCTACTTTGCAAGATGTTATATCCAAATCATGGTATTATAGCCACAGCAGCTCTAGATGTTATCGTCATGTACGAAATATCATGTAACTTTGCTTCTATTCTCCCGTCTTTTCAGTTCACCTCTGAGCCGTTCAACCTGTCTTTCCCAATTACCTACCAAGCCCTAATCACGGGGCCACAGGTCCCACCCAATACAGTACACCCAAGGTGTACCCTTCCACTGTACATCATCCCTCACAAAGACAAACACATCATCGACCTCTCTCTCGCAGTCGTAGTTCAAGTCTTTGTACTGGCTCCTTGGTCCCCCAAATCTAACCTTCATCTTGTACCCGCCAGAAAGTATAACTTCCGCGTAATCCAGGGTCGTGCAGTCTCTAAACACCTGCTTTTTCCCCCCAATAGATACTGTCAACGCAGGGACGCAATTTCCAGGATCGTACGTCCCTCGTTCGAAGGCGGCGGCAATCGTGTTACGCAAGACCTCGTACACGTCGGAGCGGCCGTCGTACCATGAATCTTCGACTGAGACGGTGATGGTCTTGCGAACATGGCTGTTGGTGTAGATGCTCAGACCGCGGGAGGTCACGTAGACGTTGAATGTGGCATGGTTGCTGCCGCAGCGTTTGCCTGTAGGTGGGCAGATATGCTTGATCGCAGTCTGGACGTCTTGGTAAAGAGTCTTGCTGTCCCCGACGTTGATGCCATTGGGGCTGAGGCCGAGGGTGATGGTCTCCGACTTGTCGACTGGGTGTGGTTAGACGTTGGAACTATACCCAGTTTGATACAAGTGTAAAGACATGATTGTGTTGGTAGTTTGTTTTGAGGGGAATTTGCAAAACATACTGTGCACAGGCTGAGTATGGTTGTAGCTACCACCGTTTGCTAAGCCGGCATCACCAACTGCAGTGGTAAACAAAAAGGTCCTCAGCCTGGACTCCGGTACTCACTACTCTCATTACCAGCGGTTGGTGCCGCGGTCGCGAGCATGCCGCACGCTGTGGTAATAATAGCAAAAGCGAAGAGCCTCATGGTTACTTCCTCGGTGTTCTTGCGTGACAGTAGACGTTGGATGGAAGATTTGACAATGCAATGGAGCGACGATCGACTCGTAGATGAAGAAGAGAAAAATGAGTGAGTAGGCAGGTAAGGTCTCCATTCTAGATCACCACTAAATGCGGTGACTGAGCAAAGTGAAGGTGAGTATCATCGTTTAGGGACGGAGCGTCTCTTGCGCTTTGGGCTCATCGACAGGGAACGTGATAGCACATAAGATAGCGCAACACCAAGAGATGATGGATCAAAATGCTTGAACAAGACGGCTTGGACCAAGATAGTGCGAATCAGGAGCATCAGTTTATTCAGGTTCCAATAGAGCATAGTTCTCTACATAATCAGTACTACATTGCTCTGAAATTCAGTCACAGCAGGTAATCCCGAAGAACAATATCTATTTGCTCTTACCGGTAGGGATCTGGAACGCGACAACAGGTTCGCCGTGCGCAAAAGCGCGATCGATACGGAAGAAGCCCTTGCGGTCAAACTGTACGATATCGTCGACCTTAAGGTCCGCGACGTTGCAGTCAGCCATGGCCTTGGTCCTAGACTCAGTCTTCGGGTTGAGGAAGTCCTCGAGCGTGTCCTCAGGCTCTAGCTTGTCCTTGGTGATGAGGTAGTCGTAGTCAACAAGCTCAATGGGAACAAGCTCCTGGTCATTGCTCAACCAAGTGACCTTCTTGGATGTCTTCTTGACGTCTCCTTGGAGATGTAGCTCAAGCTCAAGGCCTGTGACGGTCTTGAGGCCGTGCTTAGCCATCTCGAGGGGGTTGATCGAGTGGCTGATCTTGCGCACGATGGCGTTACCCCAGTTCATGAGGGTGATCTCCTCGTCTTGAGCGAACGATTGTGCGTCTGCTTGCTCCATGATGACAGACTTGCTGAAGACGATCTTCTTGTTGCCGAGATCGTACTTGGCGTGTTTCGGTTTGTCCTCGGAGATGACGCCCTCACGCGCGCCGATGATGGTGACGGGAACGCGGCCGGAGTCATCGATAGCGGTGTAACGAGCAGCAGTTGGCTCAATGTGCTTCTTGTTCGTGGCCCAGAAGGCGAACCAGTCCTGGTTGACAATGTTCTTGGAAGGGCCTTGCTTGAGGATGAACTCGCGGAGAGCGGGGATGACGGCACCGTGGCGACGGACACCGCGGACGGTAGGCATGCGCGGGTCGTCCCAGCCCGATACAATACCAGCATCGACGATCTTAGTGAGCTTGCGCTTGGACAATACAGTGCGGACAAAGTTCAGGCGCGCGAAACCCCAGTTGTGGACCTTGCGGAGCTTGAGGTTCTTGATGAACCATTGGTACTGTGCGTCACGGTCGTTGTACTCGGTTGTGCGTAGCGCGTGGGTAACGCCCTCGAGCGAGTCGACGATGGGGCAGCAGAAGTCGTAGGTAGGGTAGATCTTCCACTTCTCGCCAGTGCGGTGATGCGCCTGGGGGTTGCAGCGGTAGATGACAGGATCGCGCATGGCCTTGTTGGGGTCATCGACGGACATCTTCGCGCGAATGCACCACTTTAAGCCCTCCTCGTTTCCCTTCTTCATCTCCTCGAAGTGCGCAAGGTTGTCTTCGACGCTTGAGTCCCTGCGAGCACTAGCAATGCCGTTCATACGCTCCTCACGCATCTTCTCTTGCACTGTGTCATCTGCGTATGCCAATCCATCCTTGATGGCCTGCACACAGCTCTCGTAGAGCTGGTCGAACCAATCACTGGTGTAGGAGACCTGGTCTGGCTTGATACCGAGAAGCGCGCAGTCTTCGACGATGGCATCCTGGAACTCTTGCTTCTCCTTGGTAGGGTTGGTGTCGTCAAATCGCAACAGGAGCTTGCCCTTGTACTTCTCGTGCGCGAAGTAGTCGTTGAGCAGCGCTGCTTTGGCGTGACCGATGTGAAGGTAACCTCTGCGATACGGTTAGCGGAAAGTAGTCGCACCCACCGAAGAAGAGAACAACTCACGAAGGCTCAGGTGGGAACCTAGTGACGATGCCAGTGCCATCGCCTACATCCTGCAGGCCAATGTCATAGTTCGCATCATCGTTCTTGCCTCCCTCCTTCTTGCCCTTGCCCTTGGCACCCTCCTCCTTCTTGCCTTGTCCTCCGACAATGACCACGCTCTGGGGGTATGCCTCCTCGATGTACCTAAACCAGCGGCACAGGTTCTTCATCAAGTCCTGCTTGATGAATGCGTGCGCAACGCGGTTCTCGCGGATGGTCTTCCATACTATCGTATCGGCGTCGGAGATTGTGTAGCCGACGATGTGGGAGCGGAGAGTGAGGTGTGCATCAAGTTCCAATAGGTGAGGTTCGATTTGCTTGAGGTTGAGGGGCTTGAGGTCCTCGGAGCGCTTTTGCCATTCGGCGATTTGCGCGTCCATGCTGGCGACAGTTGTTTTGTGTTCTATGAAGTTTTGTTGAATCTGGATTGTATCCAGTTGTTAGGCAATCGTTCGTAATGGGAAAAAGTTGAAGTGGGGTGAACTGATGACGCGGGGCAACACGGAGCTTGGCAGGTACGAGTCACTGCAGGGCTGTCTCCTCGACCCACGACAACTTTGCTAGAAATATAGAAGGCCAGACTAGCCCAGCTTGTTTGATCTTGTAGATCTGTCATACACCACCATCAAGCAGCTCGAAGATCATGTTATTACCAAAATACGCCGTAGTAGTATTGTCACCCTATTTCCTGTATAAACGCCGAGAAATGCAAAAGCGTTACAACGGCCGTGGCGGTCATACGAGTACAAACGCTATCATTACAAGTCATAAGAGAAGTATGAAGAAAGAGAAAAAAAGGCTGCCACACGATCAAGCACACTCCCATTGAGCAAAAACACACCACCTTGCGCTTCGATCAGCAAGGACCAGACCTCGCCATGTGCCCTTTTCTCCAATCTTAATGACCGTTTCCCAAGCCGTACCATCAGCATCGTTAGTACTGCTAATATGCTCCGTCTTTCTAGTCAGGCGTATAATCTTGCCAGAAGGTGTTTGTACGGCTAGCTTGGCAGGCTTGTTGCTACTACTACCTGATGATCCAGAAGAACTTTGAGATGGGTTCGTGTAGTTGGATCCAGTTGCTGAGATACTCTGCATGCTCATAGCGGATGTAGGGCGAGCAAAAGGATTTGGCGATGCTCGGCCATGCATCGCGGGACTAGGTTCGGGGGATTTTGTAAGGGATGACGGATGTTGGCGGACGCAGAAGACAAAAGTGTTGTTGAGGGCCAGATTAGCGCACTGCGGCTGGGCGACGTATAGATCGTGTCGTTGGGCATGAGGCGTAGGATGCAGAGTCAAGAACGAATACGGAGGATTGGTGCCGGTGTGCGTCAAAGGAAGGCCGATTGCCAGGTTGTGAGGGTTCAGCTTGTTGGAGTGCTACGAGGCGTTAGTTTATCTGTCTTAGAGACGTGACGAGAAAAAGCTTACCATAAGTCCCCGGGGTCCTGCATAGATCTTCAGGACACCCTGGCCACCATCGTTCGGAAGAAGGGCCTTAACAGTGTATCTCTTCTGGCCACTGTACCATTCGGCTTGTGCCAATGCCGGCTTCCTCACAATCTCGCCGCTCTCAAAAAGATCACCGTCCATGTCTTGATCATAGGCTCGTGCCTCAACCTCCGCAACACACTCTACATCCTCTGGTACGTCAACGTAGACATGCGCCATCTCAAGGTTGTCTAGGTTCAAGAGACTAGTATCGAAGTTGACTACGTTGAGATGATGTCGGAAGTAAGCGGGTGTTGCACACGGGAGTGCCATCAGCACCTCGTGTGGCTGAGGTGGGCAGATGTGTTGCTGTTCCGGAAGGAGTGGAACGTGAGAGTAGCAAATCTCCATTGGGCGAGCAAGGAAGTACCATGTCTCGGCCACAGATGATCCCGCAGTCGAGTAGTGAACTCGCTTTGGGTTTGTCGGCCCAGCAAGGGAGCAGTCCATTATGCGCCACTCACCCTCTACAATGACAGCGTTCCAGAAGTGATTCGGCCGCGCGACGCTCTCTAGGTCCAAGGGTTCGCCTGGTGTCTTGAGATAGCCACGGACAACTTCAGCGTGCATTCCAACAGAAGCACACATCTCTGCCACGACCATGGCGATTTCTTCAGAGCATCCGCGCTTGCTTTGAAGTACGTGTTTCGGATCCATCTGACCCTCAAAATCTTCTTCCCACGATATGCGCTCGCTGACCCATGTGAAGATAGCTCGTAATCGTTGAATATCGCTTCGGTATGGTCGACAAACATAGCCTTGTGCCAAAGTCGCTGGGTTCGTTCCAAGAGGAATGCTGTTGATGAAGCGCGCGCTCTTGTCAACATGAGCAAGACTGCAAGCCGCGAAATCAGTAGGCTCAGTGATGGGAAGACCATCAAGACCCTCGTCGCCCTCAGCCGACTCATACAGGATCTCAATGGGGTTCAAAACAGGAATGTCCATCATCTGGCATCTTTCGGCTCGCTCTGTTCGCTCGTTCTTGCTTAGTGAGTTGGACCGATTTACATCCCGCCGGACCTGCACCCAATCTACCGTTCCAAGGCCGGTATCCCTAGATTCCTTCACCGCGTGGGTCGATTTGCCCCCTTCTATGCCAGTCGGTTCGGAGTTATCCAGGCGGCTTGCGGCGCGACTCTGGGAACGACCAGCAGCTCGGCTGGCAGCCCGGGATCCCGGCCTACTTATTGTGTCGATGGTGCTGCGTGCATTCGCGGCTTGGGTCTTCGCAGTGTCGATCATCTTACGGAAGAAGCCGCTGCGCTTTGTCTTCAGTGGCTGCCTCAGTCCACCAAGAGGATCTGGGTCGTCCGTGGCTGGGGTGCTGACTTCAGCTTGTTGGATGTCGCTGGAACCGGCTTGCGGCTGTGAAGCATGGCTGGAGTGATAGGTGACACCAGTGAAAGGTGTCTCTGGCCGTCCGTCGTCGAATCCATAAC